GAATGCCGAATTCGGTTTGACAATGCCGTTCTCAGTTGTTGTAGCCGAGACAGCGTGAGCCAGATCAAGAAAGGCGGCAAGGTTGTAGCCTTGGAGGAGAGATCGAAGTTGAAGACTCCACGTAAAATAGTTGGATGCGGACAGCTTTGTGACGTTGGTCACGTTGATGTTGATGAGTGGAGAAGACGAGTTATCGGGATCATAGGGATGAACCGTGTCATTGACAACGCCCGGTGCACCACCGGCTGGAGTGCCGGAGGAGTTGCTGTCGTCGGTGGACATCTTCGGTGGAAGGGGGTGGCGGCTTGAAAGAAAAATATGTCGGTAAGACTTGAGGTTCTTGATACCATATAGAGTAGGGTTTCGGGAATGTTTTCCACATGTATTAACAAATGAATTACAAGGGTTATATGTACATGTCGGGAGAACAATATGGTAACTAAATACCACATAACAAGGATATCTTCTTCTTTTAGTTATAACTATTGTTGCCAATCTTCCAAAAAGCTATGTTGCCAACGCTATGTTATAAAAAGAACATAAAACACATCATTCTAAAAACTATCTTGCAAAAGCTATGTTGCCAATCTTCTGCACCACTTGGATTTATTTCATTCTTGTGAAGTAATCATTTTTCTTAAATTATTTTTTTATTTGTGAAACTGCAAAAGCATGATGAACGATGTAGCAAACTTGGTGATTGCGAGCCTATGCAAATTTCGTCTCATCATGTTCACAAGAGGAACATGATTATATATATAGCCATTCATGTGCATGCACTTCTTTAGTGCATTTTTTATCTTTGGAATTTTTTCGATATCTTTCAACATGAGATCGATGCAATATGCTGCACACGAAGACCAAAATATATGTGATATTTTCACTTCAAGCAATTATCCTACAAGTTAACAAAAAAATATTATTAAAAATATTTAGACAAATAAACACTAGAAAAAAATTATTTACCTGCTTTGATATAATTAGAAACATTGTCTATCACTACATGGATCACATTTTCCTCATCCACTTTCTCGACAATGTCATCAAGCAAATGATATAATAATTTGGCATCTTTTTACAATTTCTGAGACATCAATCGATTAAAGGAAAACCGAACCTTTTGGAGAGTTGACGAGAAAGTTCACGATATCCTTATTAGCAATCGAATCACGTCTTCCATCCGATAAAATTGAGCAACACTTTTGTGCCCACTCCTTCTTGTATTCATTCAAATAACTCAGTATCACTTACTTCTTAAACAAGAAGTGGAACTCTTAATTCATACATGGATGGTGGTTTCAACTCTGGACCGTACTGTCTAATAGATTGATACATTTCTACATAACTTGGGTAGGTAGCTGCATTGAACGGAATTCCATTATCGTAAAAAAATCTTACTATTAACCTACAAGTTTTCTCCCTGAGCTTCTTGTTAATGGCTTTATAGACTTCATTCCCATCTTTTGGATCAGCTTTAGGATTGACAAACATATCCATTGGACCATTTGTTCTTTGTTATTTATTGACAGAAGCTCATTTTTCTTCCCCATCCAAGTCACCAACCAATTCAAATTCACGAGGTATCATTTGACTTTCAATCTTTAAAGATGTTTTTTCTTTATATATAAAATCTGATATTTCTATTTTCACATGCTCGGGACAACGAGAACATTTGACCACATTCCTAAATCCTCCAACTAAATATTGCTTCAACCGATAAACTCATCCTTTAGTAACTTTTTCACAGAAATTGCATAAAAATTATTTCAATTACTAGGATCTAGAGTACCATACTTTGACACTAGGTCTGTAATATTTGTGGTATCTTTTCCCGATCCATTACTAGAATCACTAGAAAATAAAAAAAATAACTATTCTAAGATTTATATAAAAAAAACCGTGAATATATATACGTGGCATTACACGATTTTTAAATAATCGACACACTCCATCGTCAAATAATTTAGGGTTAGGCTTTCTCCTTCGATGGACACTCAATATAAAAACAAACAAACATAATTATTTTTTTATTATATGAAAAATAAAATAAAATCTACACTACACACATTTCAAGCAACTGAGAAAAGATGTGAGCCACCTGTCTACAAACCTGTCAAGCAATTGAGAAAAGAAGTGTTTATCTTCTTTTTTTTTAAAGCAAAACAGAAAAAATGAGCATATATTCTCGGTGAAACAATAGCTACTATATATATATATATATCATATAACAATTAATTTTAGTCAATAGTAATTATGAAAAATTGACCAAAGAGTTTTTATTTTTTTCTGGGCCTTTCTACAAATTATAAGCAAACACTTTAATATTATTCAACACCCTTTTTAAATCTCTTTAATTGCTTGAAACCAAGGAAGCGACGCTTCACATTTCACCATGACACATCATAAAGCGCGTCTCTCTGCCGCTTTCTATAGATTGCCTTATTTTTATCACCTGATGCGATTTTCTCTACGCCTCTGAGCGTCGTCGACAGTT